AAAGCATGGGATCACGCGCCTTCACTCCTTCTTCTCAAACAATTTTTTTCGTCAAACAAACATTACTGGGCTTTTCACAAAGGATGAACGAATGTTTCTCTGGAGGCAGATTTTGATTTTGTTCCCTACTTTCGAAAAACAAAAAATCTGTATACATTCGAAAAATGCGATGTTAACGATTTTTCTGCAGAATATCAGTGGATATATAAGAAGTTCTACTTCCAGAGGAACCTGAATACTCCCATTCCGAATCTCACTATATTTCTCGTTTATCGAAAGAATCGATATTGAACAAGGACAAGGAGAGGCAAGAAGATCATGTTTTCATTGCAGTGATACACGGTGTGTCCTCCTCTTGATAGTTCATTTGCTAGCGAGCTTGAGTTGAGCCAGGGTTCGAGTAACAGAAATAGGGATTCTCAGGTACTGCTGGGCACCAGTATCCATTTCGTATTAGCTGATAAGTGTGAATGAGCTAGATAATCCATTCAATAGAGCCATTTTGAAGTAGCTAGATAGGGTGAAGGAGCTAGAGAATCCATTCAATAGAACCATATAATTTTTTCTCAGTTTCGCGAAGTATTTAGTGAAAAGTATTTTTTTGTTACGTCTGCTGTTCGAGTCATTCAACAAGTGAGGAAAATTCACGTACTCGAGTTAACATTAAAACTGTGGAGCCCAATTAAACATGATGAGACAGGACGCATTGCCGTTGGCTAGATCAATTTGAAGGGGAGAGCATATTTTTGGAAGGTGATCTTTTATCTCAAGTATCTTGAAAACCAAATTCGAGGTGTGTTTGAAGATGATATAGCTCAATCTTACCCGGCCTGTCTCTATCCTGACTGCATAATCAGGCGTTGAAGTAAAAAATGGCAGTAGTAGAAGGGTATCAAAGATCTCATACTGGTACACAGTTCATCAGCATACTCTGTTTCAATGATTTGAATAAAGAACTCAAGAAATCCAGCAATCTGATTTGGTTAAAGTCATTATGAAAAGTACTGCTCCTGTTGCCTGTTCCGCTTTTTCTGAGGTGATGTAAGCCATCTGTCGGAAAAATTTGAAACTCTTGAACATGCTTTATTTTTAGGAACAACCGGAAAACTTAGCAGTCTCAGCCAAAATCGATTGCACTGTACAAACAATGATCATTATCTCCTCCACATATCATAGGATAATACTAGAGTTACATTTTGAAATCGATAGGTGAATTGAACGAATTGAAAACAAAAAATCGAAAGGCCGCTTTTCAAGGCATAGTCATCATTTGTATTTCTTCGAGAGATTCATCAATGTCACAAAGTTCTTCGTTGATATTCTCATGATAACTATCATATGAATTGTGGTCAGCTGAAACGATAAAGAACATTTGAAACATTATCAGTCAATCTGAATATGAAGGTGAATTTTGAACCTCAAAGAACTGAACATCGAATTGTTTCCATCGAATAACTTTGCAAACTAGGATATTGAAAGTATTCTCTTTAGTCGAAAGTGATAGCGCCTTTGTTTGTGGATCGAGGTTCAACCACAATATTCTTATACATACGGATGTTCTTAGTGTACTCAAAAAATGTCATTGACAGGTTCATCAATAATTCCAGAATATCGAAGATTTTCGTTAAAAAAATTCATATTTCAACGCTCGATATCTCCATACCGAACTGTCTTAGAGCATATTATGTTCACAAGAAGATTATCTATCATTTCAACGAGTTATATCTATCTCGATTTTTTTGGTTATCAAACTGTTACCACCCTGTTGCTATATCGTTGTCTGCCATGGTGTTGTCTTTCATTTTTTTTGCTATTCAGTATATGAACAACTTGATATATGATGAATACGTACACCTAATGTCAAAACACTTTCTCATACGGTTGATTTTACGATTTTTTTCGCAACTTTGACGCGGTCTTATTTGAAGGAATAAATATAGTAAGTTTCAATATGCTTGCATTGAAAATTAACACGAACTGAATTGAGAAAATCACACTATAATATACCAAACTATAGGGTTGAATCATTTACTCTTGAGCTTAGTGGTCCTTCTGGGAACAGGTATAGTGTTAAATTCCACTCTATTTTTCTACTGTGTATTACGTCATGAATGGAACCATCTCAGAAGAGAATTGTGACTGTACAGAGTCACGTTGAAATTTCTGTAGTAGTTCAGCTCTAACACTTTATGGTTTTCGTGATGCTGTTCATCGAGTTGAATGTGATCTGCTCAATTTTTGAAACGTGCACAGCATTATCATTTCCTTCACATGCAATTCTGAAAACACCGACCTTGACAGGTCAATCAGGGTGTAGAGTCAGGTTTGATATTATCGACTTTTTCACTCATCACATAATCTGACCAATCACAAGCAAGAGACAGTGTGTGCTGATTGCGGGAATATTAGCTGTCTTCCAATCCTGATTGGTCTGTCAGCATTGATGTTTTCAACTATGTAACCATAAATGGTATAAAATAATTATGCCTGTACTTGTCAGAATGAATCACTTATTTATAATTAATGCTTTCCATGCTTGGTGAACGTGAAATAGTCTATCTGAATACCACTCTGTTATGAATATGTTCCTCATGATTTTTTCTTTCAGTGTTGACACAATTGTGTTGCTATATACAGCTCGGCAACACAATTTCGTGAACATTGAAGCGACATAATTATCTCGAATATTCAGGACATCGGGATATTACTCATGACAATTTCACAACGTGTATCGAGTTGTCATCTCCTGCGATATGAAAACCAATCAGAATGATGTACCTCGATAATACGTTGCTTCTTTCTTTCGAGCCGGTAAGACCATGTCGTTACGGCAACAACGAATCCTGATAGAACAACGTCTTGTCAGCTGGTATGGCATTAAGAAAGTGATATATAATTCTGAAGAATGTGAAAAAGTGCCTTTTCGTCAATCCGGAAATTCCGAACATTGAATTCATACTATTGTAGAAAGATATGTTCCTCGATGAAGGATGCAGGTCGATGAAGGATGCAGGGTGCAGGGGTTCACTTAACTAAAAATCTGAAATTCACTGAGTATAAAAATATCGTGAGTAGTGAAGCTTTCAGAATTCTATACGGTTCAACATTTGATTTCAGAAATATTGAGACGATCTAATTACTATTTATTCAGCATTTGTCTTGAATTTGCTCTCATGATTTCAATTAATGAATGAATAAATGAATTAATTAATTATTGAATGATCAATGACTTCATAGATGAATAAAAGATTGAATAGAGGAAGAGGTGAATGAATAAATGGATTAAAAAATGAATAAATTGATATATGAATGAATAAAGCCACGTAAAATGAATGAATGAATAAATGAATATATGAGAAAATGAATGAGTGAATAAATGAATAAAGAATTGATAAATAATTTAATGTATAGATCGATGAATGAATAAATGGATAACTGAATAGGAAGATGAATAGGTGAATGTATGAATAAATAGATGAATAGATGAATGAATAAATCACCTATTCATCATTGGATTGGGATAATGTCTCGATAAATACAATTCGTGCTCTAAACTATCGGAAATTTTGTCAGAAGACTCAGATTCAATCGAATTTCTTCCAGGTGACACCTTTTGTCCTATGAAATCTCGTCAGTTAATGACAGAATCACTATCGATAGTATCGTGAGCACTCATGGTTTTTTCCTGCCAATCTGATCCTGATCAGAGCTCCTGATCAATTAATTCAATAATTCCAGCATCATTCAGAGATTATGATTTGGCATGAGAACAATACTATATCAGAACGGTTTATCGACAGTATGTTTCAGTATTGTATAATGATGGATATTTCTGCAAAACTTTCAATTCATCACTGAAAACTTAAAGCAGAGCTCCAAATATATTGCTCCAGCTTTTCATCCAACTACGATCTGAACTCAGAGTAATAAAGCTCGAACAGCAGTTCTACATTACAAAAAAAAAAAAAAACGCTCGCTCGTAAAGCACAGAGCCGTCTTCTGGATGTTCCTACTTCTATCGTCAGGCAAATATCTGAAAGACAGGGTGTTTCCAAAGTTGAGTCATTCATTCAAACGGGTTTCATACCTCCATTCATCAATGCAGCGTTGCTGCTCATACCAGAAATCTGTTGCAACTTTGATGTTCACATCCTATATTTTGTAAAAAAATGTTTGAATTCATATAGAACTGGTCATCATTTCTATCCAAATTCTTCAACATCATCAAGAAAAATTAGGTAAATAGTTGAAGAACGCATCTTGAATGAGGATGGGCTTTTGCGGTTCATGCAAAGCTACGCGTTTCCTAAAACTGGTTACATAGATATAAACTTTACAACACTTACTCATATTCTCCTTTTTCAAACGGTTTCCGAACAGAGTGTTACTGACTAGCGATACAATTTTTGTCGCAGGTAACTAATAAGAATATCTGTCAGCGCAGTGATATTTTCAAGCTAATCATCCAATTTGTCCTTACCACGGGAATATTGAAATAATATGGATATTCTCATTGTGATCGGATTTGTTGAGAACTTCCATGTTCTACTTTCATATTTTCCTTCATTTGATGCAATCATGTATTATTAGCATATTAATAACATTCGAATTGGCCGGTATATAAGGGATTCTCGACATTTGTATTGTTTAGTTCTATTATTGAATAAATATCCTGAAATAATGACGATGACAAATTCGTGCTTCATCATTTTTGATCGATATTTCTTCAGATTCCTAATTATTTACATCCGAGATCGCTAGGATTATCACTCCCTCTATAATTTGGTTCAGAATGATGATGATGAACCAGTACCAATGACGATTGATAATCATTTTGATATCCTATCGTCATGTCAAATTCTAATAGGTAGGAATCCGATCTACTGAAGTACATCCAGCACAAAAAGTCTGCGCTACTGAAATATACGCGAATTCCAATAGTTGAAATTATTTCACACTGTCACTCATAATATCCTCCTTATATTCACGATTACTATGAAATGCTATCGCCGAACATCATGTTATCAAATACCAAGGTAAACTTGATATTTCTCCAATCTGGGCATGTAACGTAGTTATCATAGGGGTCACAAGAGATGATATAAGAGGTTTTAATGAGACATATTTCCTCACCAGTTGATCTTCACGATATTTCGATATTTCGAATGTCTATATTCCTTCTCTTCGAATATTTTTTCGAACAAATTGTCACTGATAAGCTATTAGAGTTCTCATTAGGTCTCCCTGATGAAAAATTCCGATGAACGCTGTGACATTTTCAGGAGATTCGTCTGATTTGTCGAATTACACATATATTATTGAAATAATACTCATATTTTTATTTCATGAAGACGAGCGGAAAAATCACAAATAAACTAGTGGAATAGATGTTCATTGTTCAACCTATACCGACAGTAGCTACCCTTCATATTCTTGAAATGTGTTTTTCACTTTGTTACCTCATCCCTAACAACACAGGGATGTCCTAGGTGCGTCCCTTTTTTGTCCCGCGGTACAAGGAAATGATTGGGACATCCAGGGGATGTCCCGCCAGTGGTTGTCCAGTGGACATCCCACCTGGTACATCCCTAGGAATATCTGCGATATCCATTCTTCACATCAGAGAGTCATTGAATTTCATCAAAATATTGAGTCGAATTTTTTCGAAAATGTATTTCTTCCGGACAATAATAATTGTGATGAAAATAAAGAATATAGTCTCAAAACTTCTCAAGAAATGACCATTTTTCGCAAACAGAGATCGTAAATGCATAATGCGCCTCATTTTTAAACACCCAAGAATGATAAAATAATTATACCCGAATCCTAACAGTTTTATTTATCCAGGTTTCTGTAGTTGTCCTGTTCATAAATCTGTTCAATACATGAATCTTCAGAAGGCATATTAGCCAATGGAGTAAGGTGCGTGCCTGATAAGCTGAAGGTTCCGGGTTCAATCCCAATTCGACCTACATTTTTTTTTCTTTTGTCGAAGGGATGTCCCTGGGATATCCTTGGGACGTCCTAGGGATATCCCTTCTTTGTACTCGGTACATCCCAGGGACGTACCAGAAGGGACATCCCTTGGATGTCCTTTTTGTCTGAAAGCGGATGTCCCAGGGACGTCCCTAGTATGTACTTTGTCCCAAAAAAGATATCTCTGGGATGTCCTAGTTTGAAATCAGGGACGTCCCTGGGAAGTCCCTTGAATGTACTCGTGTTGTTAGGGATCATTCAACTTCGATTATGTCGGTTCATCAGTTGTTGCCATTTGAACGCTCGTACGCCTCGTATATCATGACTCATATCTTCAGGATTGATCTTGGTGAATTTCATTGATTTTGATAGCATTGAGATAATTACTTCTCATCACGAGTTCAGAAATGATAGCGACCTTGAAACGGAGCGCTGAGTACTTGGAATAGCTGAGTGGAATCATGTGCAATTTGTCTTGCCAATATCCATCATCCATCAACATCAAATATCAGGTTCTCCATGAAAAAAATATATGAAACAACAAAACAATAGTTTGTTGAAAATTTTGAGTTCTTATTTCTGTATGTTCAACAAACAAGTCACCCGATTCAAGATGATCAATTCCTTGAGTTCAGGAAATTTGAAATAATTCGCAAATAATTTGCAATTGTTCGATAAATGCCAAGTTTTGAAATTATTCCATTATCAGAATTCACTTCCAATCGATTTATGTTTATGTTATTACGAATATTGCATCGTATATCAATCGCATTGGAAAACAGACATTCAATTATTCTATATAATTTTTTGATGCCGCATTTAATTTCTGTTTGGATTCCAGGACGGCTCTGGTGAAATCAATCCATTCGATATGTGATATTTCCTATGCATTGGTATCAGCCTGAGTGGCGAGAGTTTTGTGGGAACCGATCCACATGGAGGTAAAAAGTAGCCCTTAGGTCAATCTATCCGCAAGAGGGGTCTACCAGCATTCCTTAACTCCACCTGCTCCCGCAAAAACCTCTAATGGGTTTTCGAGCGTGCTTAAGTGCTCTCCGAAACTGATAGCCCTGTGTACTACAACATATTTACAACTTTGTCTATGGCACGCCTCTTGAAGTGCTTTTTGCTGGTCATACTTTCGGCGTGAATTATTGTAATCAGGTTGTAAACTGGAGTTAAACCTCTTCTTTCCGCGCTCTTGAGTGTTTTGAATAGGAAAACTTCCGAGTGTATATAGTTAGTCGAGATGGTCGATTGTATTCAGAGGATTTTGGATACCTGAGAGTATCCTAGACATCAGCTGAAATAATTTACCATCTGAAAATATTGAGGACATCTTGAGCATAAACAAGTTCAAGATAGAATTAAAAATTATCTGTTTATTACTCCGTAAGTCAGTATTTTTCCAGTAAACCAAGACTGTTATCGGTTTGAAAATATTCATGTTGTTTTCAACAGTGTTTTGGTGTGAACGTTACAAAACATTTCGATTTCAATTATTGTAATTTTATATCTTGATGTTTTATTTTTATTTAGCGTCGTTTATTATTGATTGTAATTCTATATATTAATGTTTTATTTTTATTTATTGTCGTTTATTATCTATTGATAGAACATTTTCTTCCTACATTAGCTGAAGCATCCTATATCATAAATGTCTGTTTGAACCATTTATATGGATGTCTTGATCTGAAAGGAAGTAAAGAAATTTTGAATTTTTGATTTTTTTTCAAATAGACGGACGAAATCAATTTTGGATACAGAAATGAGCTTGAAGAGGATGATATTCCAAGTCTTTCATTCACAAGAACTAATAAGCTCCAAAAGTGCACAAAAAATGTCAACACTTACCCCCTCTCCTCTTCCTGTCCTTACTAGGTATAGGCACAATGTTCATTGAACATTACAGAAATCTTTTTTTGTGCGCTCTAAGTGATAGGAAAACACTACGTTCGATTTGAAATAGATACACAGCAGTATCCACTTCGCTTTTATGGAAAATTCCTGGACTTTTTCATTATATGTGGTTGAGCTCCATCGATATTTTCATTAAGTTGTCCCAGTTAGAGGGTCGAATCAACATGTTGGACTCTTTTTTTTTCATACCTGTTTATTGTACCAGTATATCTCCTGACGAAGCTACTGTGTTAGCGAAACATGTTGTGTGTATAAGAATATTATGGAAATTTTGTCGTTTGTGAAGTTTTTACATTTCCAGATTCCTCATGCCTTCCAATTACCACAATTTGTTTCTACAAGATATTCTCGAACGATATTGGTTTCTCTAGAGGAAAAGAAAAATTACCCATCTAACAGACATACCCCAACTCCAGGAATCTACAGGAACGGATTTTCTCATAATATAGACTGGCAAATCATATGAATATCATTATATCTGAACGGTAATCATTCACCTGATATATTCATACCTAGTTATTCTGATTCATGACTTTTCTCATTTCATTGCTCAGAACTTTTTCGAAGCAATAATTTTGATCGAGAAGATGAACCTAACCGTAAATACAAAAATATTCCACAGGTTGTGCAATATTGCATGACACCTACGAACAGCAAAAAAGTCCTAGAATGAGAGCGAAAGGATAAAAGCGTCAAGTCCTCAGAGCCTACAGTATCTAAACAATTTGGTTTCGAACATAACGTCGATTTTATCGAGTCATGAATGGAAAGACCGACAGCACATTCATATTGTGCTCTGAGCTCCCATTCTATCCTGCGGTTATCATTTAAAAATCAGAGTATAAAAGATTTTTTGCTTGGTGCAGTTCACCAATGAGCATCTTGATATCCTGTCATGATACTGAAGCAAGCCAAATTTCATGAGATCAGCTCATCGTGTTATCGCAACAACATCGCGAGGCAAACCAGGCATTCTTCGCAGAGATGTTCGCAAAAAACGCACCTTCAGATTCCCAAGGAAGGGTGCCGCCAGATATTCCAACCGTTGATAGTCGAAGACTCATAATTGTATTCCGTCAACGCACTATCAGACGCATTTTGCTTGATCTCAAATACAATAAGGCTGACAGCCCTGATGGATTTTCATCCGTTTTCCTGAAAAAATGTGCACTAGAATTGACAGCGACAGTCATTGGCTATCTTGTTGAAGTTAGGTATTTTTACTATTTTTCAATCTTGCTGGAATATAGCTAGAGTCCTACCAATCCCTAAAAGAGGAAATAGAAACCTGTCCAGCATTCACCGGCCTATTGCCCTGTTATATCAGCTATCTCCGAAGTGATGGTGAAAGCCATCAACACTGAGTTTATCAAATACCTGAAAAGCTCAGGAATCATAAATTATGCACAATCTGGCTTTCGCCAACAGAAATCAACTGGAGATCTACTTTTTTGGGATGAAATTACTCTTCATACGACGTTTCCTTCCATAATTCCCAATACTTCCCAAGAAACAGAAAACTCCCGACGAAGATAGACCAACGCTTTCAATAAAAATCTTGCTGAAATAACAGCCTCAACCACTGAGTCGAATTCAACGCCGACAGAACTGAAGCTAATATTCCGAATAGGAAGACAGATTTCAGTGTGTCCAATATATCTATGCTCGGGATTTTCGTCAGCAAAACTCTTTCATGGAATGATCGTGTTAGATCACTAGCGAAGGCTGCTTGTCAAAACCTTGCACTTTTGTTTCATGCGAAAGGCTATTTCACACCCCAACAACTTTTTATAAACAAGAAAGCATAAATACGAACTGTTTCATGATACTGTTCTTAGAAATGATGGTCAGTAGGTAACTGAAAGTATGCTGATGCTTTGATATTCCATCCAGTGAGGAGTCATACGCCTGATAGATGATGCCACACTCACCAAGTCTTTGACATTTGGAATTGTTTCTATTCGTCCTCCGGTTGCCTCCTTACAAGCAACCCTCAGAAGCCTTCATGAAACTTGTTTGAGCAAGAAATGACAGGGGACTTACCTTTCAAAGTGTGAGCCTTTGGCCATCAGAAAAATATGTGCAATAGTTGGAATCGAACCCACGAACGACCAATCCAACGTGAATAGAATACTGACGC